TTTTTTTTGGTTTTTATTGCCTTTGTAACTACAAAGTAAATTATTGAAATAATTTATTATATTATTACTTTCAAAGTAATTGTTATTATTTTCGTAGACTTTTTTTTGTATAAAGATAAAGATGATTGTTAAAAAAATTATTATAATTTATTATTATATTCTTACTAAAAACTTATTAATTTGTAATTATTGTATACAATGTCTATAAAAAATGAGTTTTAAAATGGTTTTTTATAATTATTGCTACTCTATTTTTTGTTTAATATTTTAAATGGCTTTTGTACGAATTTCTATGATAATTATTATTATTAGTATTTTAAAATTATTTTTGTAAAATCTTATTCAGCTAAAACTTCTTTGGACAGACTCCTGTGCCCGCTTAATAGAGAGCCGGTTTCTTCTCATATATTATGGTTTTTGAGAATATTTCGGCCCAGCAGGGATGTTAGAAGAGTTCCTATTTACTATCTAAAAATCGACCGATTTGAAAATAATATGCTGTCTAAAATTAAAAATAGAATTTGCAAATAAATTTATATTTTAATATTGGTAATATTGTAATATTATTAAATTTAATTGCCAATTGATATAACTTTTCTGCATTTTTGTCTTTAGCTAGAGAGTTATATTACTTAAATCTTTAAATGTGCTCTGTCTCCAATTAAGTTTTTTCCTCTTACCAAACCGTTTGTCTGTATTCTGTACCTAATTCGCATCAAATCTGTTCTCTGCAAAATACTGCGCAAATTAGCTCCACTTTGTCCAAGACGAAAGCATAACCAGTTTCAGAGTCGCGCCCCGTCGGAGTACGCAAAAAAAATGCAGAAAAAACAATAACTCAGATTGGCTCAGCGCCAGCGCAACTGTGCGCCAGCCATTAAAAACTCATCACCATCATCAGCGACCAACTGGAATGAGCACACACAACAACAACAACAACAACAACAACAAGAACGCTTTGGACAGCGACATTGTGGATGGGATCTGCCCCGAGAAGCCGCGGGGTTGCGTCTTGGCGCAACGTTGAGGGAGTGTCCAACACATACGTCGAACTTTGAAACGCTTGAGTGCACAGCTTCAGGTTTAACTCTTGAGTTTCTGACAAATATATGCATATATGTATATATAGTTTTATGCATATATAACTTGCCGGTGATCAACGCCATTTTGTGTTAATTTTATTAAAAATCTACGACGCCCACAAAATTTACAAAATATTTAAAACCAAACTTCCGCCAAATGAATTTTGCGCGTATTCTTATTCAAATGCATGCATGATGATGGGCGAGTCAGGGCTGGGACTCACCCTCAACCGGGAGGGGGCATCGGCAACGGCAGGGGCAGGTTTTCTCACGAGCTGCGTAATTACAGTTTACTTAAACTGTAAGAACTACGCAGCGGCAGCAGCGGCATCCGAACTTTGCGATCCGTATCGGTATCGTATCGTATCGCTGGGTACGCATCTAGCGATCCTTCGTCTGCGGCTTCGTTTTACTTGTGGATCTAATTGCAAATGCCCAACAACAACGACAACAACATGATGAACCTTTTTCGCTCAACGACTGCAATTAAAATGGAACCACCAACCAGCCAAGCAACCATTTAGAGAGTCTCAATCTCAGTCCCAGTCTGAGGTCTCTGCTCTGAGCTCGGAGCTCTGAGTCTGTTGCGGAGTCTTGGCCCGAACAGCATGCCGGAAAAATCGACTCAAATTACAGAGACGCACACACACACACACACACACAGTCTCAGCCTTGTACTCGTCCTCGGTTTCGGCCTCGACTCGTTTACCCCAACACAGAGAGCAGAGGGTCTTTGGCAAAATACTTGGAAAAATTTGCGTGCCTTAATGGCGCTGAAGAGAGAGGGCGAGAGAGAGAGAGAGAGAGGGTGCGGCACATAATTGCCAGCTGTCCAGGGTATGCGAGAAATATAAAATCTTAAATTCTGCTAAATTAGACGAAATAACAGCAGATCTTTAGATTTTTGCATCAAAGCGCCGTCTTGATTGATCTGCAAGACCTTAGGGTAGTTTGTGCCGTAAGTTTTCCTAATTGTCGAACATTAAAAGTAGTTCAACCCAAATGTATACAATTTCATGCGGTCAGCAGTTTCTAGTTTAAAGTTACCCAAAACGATGTTTAGGCCTTGTTATTTTGATGTATTCGCTGTGAATTTCAATGTTTGTGCGGGATAAAACCGTTGCAGGTGGTCCGAATGCGTAACTGGATGCAATTGTATTATAGATGGATACAAGTATGGATAGGAATCTATCTTAATGCTTAAATGGATCATAATTATTATTATTTTTATTTTTAAAAAAATCCAACATTCGTTGAAGCGTCCTTTTGCTATGCTTACACAAATAAGGCTAGAATATTTTTGTTTAATATATAAATAAACTTATTTATGTTAAACACACTAAAATATCTTTTATATCGCTAAGCCATATACATATATCCAAATATTCTTTTGTTGATTTATTTTTGTGATTTTTTATAGTATTGCATTTATAATAATTATGTATCGATACGAGCCATTACAAGCTGTAATATATGTCTAATAATCAACTAAATCCTTTTAACATCTGATTGCTATTGGGATAAAATTGGGTTGTTATACGAAAAGAGTATTACCAGAAATATTCCAGTTTCACACGCTGAACCCATTGAAAATGGGTAAAATGGAAATAATAATTTTGGACAAATGCATGTAACAGGGAGAAGAAAGCATCTCCGACCCCATAACGTGTATATATTCTTGATCAGCATCAATGACCGAATCGATCTTGTCATTTTTGTATGTCTGTATTTATGAACGCTCTGATTTCAGATCCCATAAGACGAGAGAATTGAAATTTGGAGCGTAGGTTCTGCATCGAAATTATGTTTTTTGAGCAAACTTCTTAGATTTTAAGCGTCAGGTCACCAAATTTTGACATGTAGATTTTATAAGAGACAGATACAGATCAAGCATATTTTATAATTTCAAGGTGTTGATTTGTTTTAATTTTTTTTTATTAGTGTTAAGGCAAAGAGCGTATTTAGGGAGTTGCATTTGCTGTTGGTAGAATAAGTAAAGGGTATCCTGCAGTCGGGCTCTTCCAAATTATCGATACTTTGTTTTTATATTAGAAAAGCACATTTATTTTTAAATTATTAAATGTTGAAGGTTTCGAAATTTGTCCTAGTTTTGCATAATCAACTTTTACAAAAACACTTACAATTAAATAAATAAAATTCAATTGAATTAAATTAGGAACTAAACTAAAAATATACATTATACTGTTTTTAATGTCGTACGATATTTGTATATAAATATTTGCACATATACTTTGGGAAACTTTTAACTCAAGTATTTTTGCTGCTATCGTCAGCACTTGAATAGTCTACAATAACTTGCTGTCAATTAGATGATGTCGTCCGCATTATAAAGTTTGGCTAGCAACATTTATTTATGAGTTGTGACTGTGCATCCGAGAAATCCGACTGACCTTAAATCATTTAATCAGCAAAGGCAGCCTTAGGGCCGAGCCAAGCCGAGCCAAGTCGAGCTAAGCTGAGCTGGGCTGGTGGTATGCAAAAATGTTCCGGACATTCACATGAAATATTTGCGAATTTGAAAACTTGATGCCAACTGTTTGCAGATTTTAATCTTTCACAAACTCAAACCGAGCACACGCACAGACAAGCAGCTACAGAGGAAGGAACAGAGAAGAGGGTCCAAGACCAAGAGCGTCCATGTCCAGCCCAGTGTCCAGCAGGCAGCGGGTAGCGAGGGGCGGAGTTAGGGCACAACATAACAAAAAAAAAAAAAAAATGGAAAAATAAGTTGCAGTGACACTTGTTAGACGGGCTGACAGCTGGACTGTCGGACAGGCTGGGAAGCTGCGAGCCTGACCACGACCCAATGCAGATGTTGTCGTCATCATTCTCGTTGTCCTTCAGCTGCAGCTGCCCAAGCGGCGGGCAACTTGAGAGCCGGACAATGCGTCGACCAAGGCGACGACAACTTTTGCAAGCCAAGTGACTTTGACAGACGCCATAACTTGGGCTCTGGCGTAACGCCTTAACCTAGGGGCACACACACACACACACACACTCGCCCAGTTATTCAGTCTTTGAGTAATGAGGACAAAGTTTTGCATTCGTAATGTCTAGCTACTGCGTCTTGCGACTGCATTTTGGTGGTGGTCAGGCGTGGTGCAATTTGCAAACTTCATTTATTCACGCCCGGAGCACTTCTGAGTAGAGTTGAGTTGAGTATCTTACGCTCCGGCCTGGGCACCCATTTGCTGCTGCTGCTGCTGCTGCTGCTGCTGTTTGCCTTCCAGTTCTGACCAACTTTGAAGCTTTCGACAGGCGACAGGCTGCACAACTGCAGCAACTGGCGAAACTATTGAGATTTCTCGGGTGTTGGTTGAAAGTCGTCGATTTGTCACTTGCTTGGTTAAGCTACGATAGTTGCACAAATATCAAATGCCTAACTTGCCCGAAAGAATTTGCTTTCATAAATGAAAGCCCAGTTATTGGAAATTGTTGAGAAATTATAATGATTAATGCGCTTATACAAAATGTCTATTAAACTGTGCAGTAAAAAACACATCTTTGGTCTCGATTCCATGATTCCAGCCTCATATATCAAATACCTTTGTAAAATATAACTTCAGACTTTGCAAGGATTTACATTTTCAGAAAATAATGTTAAGATAAAACTCTGACCGTGTAAGGCCGGGCAATACCAGCTAGCATATTAAAGTCTCTAGTTCTCGCGTTAAGATTATTTTCTAGGATATGCTCACTGTTATTATATTTATTTTTTTTAAAAGCTGCTAATTGGCTAACTTTGATCACTTTTAGCACTTTTTTTTGCTGTTTTGATGGTTTTAAATTGTTTGCATGTTGCACAAAGTGTGACCGCATTTCATTTTACATAAAACATAAATAAACATAACATCTGGCAACGCTATAACCTGCAGAGTTAGCACATTGTCGATGCAGTTAAAGTGTAATCAATTTATTTGCAGTGTTGCACAATTAGTTAAAAATCTAAGGAATTACATTTTATAGTGCCCACATTAGTCCCAAGATCAATCCAATGCATATAGCTGTTCGTGCCGTAAGTCCTATATGCACTCTACTTCCTTCAGAACAGGGGCAATGTAACATACATTGTTCACAATAGTTTTCAGTGTAATTTCCTTGCTGTTGGCGCTTGCCAATGACAATTGTACATCCCATCTGTGGCGTCCAGAAGCAGATAAAACCCTCCAATAGCTCTGCATATGCAATACATTTAGAGCATTAGCTTGATGTAAATACTTCTAGTAATTACCATGTATACGATAAACCCTTGGCACACATTTCTGTAATGCATTAACAGTAGTTACTTTTGAGTCACATCTCTTAATCTTGTCGGTATCATCGTCGAATTCTATTAGCTGGCCATAATTCCTAATAGTGCATGATACATATGAACTGCAATCGGCACATTTATTAATCATATCTGTAATTATAATCAAATTGTAACAAATATATGTAAAAATTTCTATAATTGAATTATTATTAGTTTTACTCACTACTCGTTTCATTTACCATTGATACTTTCCCTATTATAAACAATATTAATATTGAAGAACGAATTATACAATTTCTCATAGCCTAAAAAAACTATTCCCCATAGAATGTGTGTGTGTTACTATTAGAGCTGGCTGCCCTTAACTTTTAAGTCAACTAATATTTTAAGGCTTGCTATGTTTACTTTGGCGTATAAAGTATTTTGCTTAAATATTTATGAATATTATTAGATACTCTCGTCTTCTGTTATGAGATTGCACTTGAATAATGAAAAGTCGAAGGAAATGTTCAAAATTAATATATCCCACTAAAATAGGAGGTAATTTCATTTAATTGTGTTTGATTATAAAATGATTCGATTTTTATTGTAATTTTCTAGATAATATTATCGGATATTTTAAGACTTTTAAATGTTGTATATATTTATGTATATTTAATAAGCTTAATCTTTAATCTAATATCGATTGTGATATGTTTGAAAATTTAATACATTTAAGAGTAGCATTTACAGCACTTATTCCAATTTTTCTTGACTCGACCTAAGCTTGACATATTGATACATTGTTCATTTTGTGGTCATTCGTCAGTTTACTTGACATTGTTATGGGGCAATTGCTCATTTAATAAAACTAATCTGCGCTGCTCCAAGAAACAAATCAGAAATAATACGTTCCCTGGTAACCGTTGACAATCTCCATTTTAGCTTCTAGAGCGGATACAGCCAATTGAATGGTACGATGACTGTCTCTGAGTGCGATACAAGTACAAGTACAAGTGCATGTGTGTGATTGGGTGTGTGTGTGTGTGTGTGTGAGTATTATGGCTTTTCGAGGGAATTATAAACTACGACGAACTTATATGCGATTGCCCACGACAAATTGCAGCCATTTAATTCAATTTAAATAAATTTAAAATTCATCCAACTTGTTGAGGCACTCGACTCATCTTAAACAACTGATTTGGATTTGATTGGACTTAATCGTACCAACTTTATGAAAGCAAAAAAAAAAAAAAACATATCCCACTAACTTAGCGTCAAGCTTACAATAATCCAATTAATTGTTGTGTATAAGTTGTTAATTGTGATTCATTTATTATGAATCATGTACAAATATTATATTCAGCTGAAATAATATTAAGGTTCAAGTTCTCTATGCCACGAGAAATAGATACATTGTATTTGCAATAATATGTGTATTATGTGTAGCAGTAATTGTATACCCTGCGTACATACAAACGCTTACAGGGTGACAATGAATCAAATTTTTATCAGTTGCATTTGACATAATCAATTTGAATTTGAATTTGAATTTTATGGATATATGACAATCAATCTTCCTTTCTCTAACAGGAATGTCCTATATATATACATTTTTTTACAATTTAAAATTGTTTGTAAACAACAATTTTTAAGGCTCACAAAACTGTTTAACACTAAAATTTAATATATCTTATTGACTTATTTCATTATATTTTCGCCAGAAAGAATTTCAAATTAAAAGCGTCTAATACTATTTAAATAAGGGACTTAAATCTCTGCTGCTGTTTAATCGGCTCTCACAATTACTTTACTGTATTTCATGTTTTCATTTTAATATGACAAATGTCCCTTGACTTTGATATTAAATTGTTCGCACTGGATTATCGCCGGTTTGCGCTTCATCAATTGTTTCTTCACTTTCCAACACATACTTTTATACCTTTTAGACCTTTCATTGTTGTTGCTGCTGTTGTTGTTGTTGTTGCTGATATGCTCAATGTGCACTCACCTATTGTTTTTCTGTTGTTGTGTTGTGTTTGGTTGATAATGATTATGTTGATGCTGCACTTTGCACTCGCATTGCGGTCTATACACTCTCTCTGTCTCGCTCGTGCACTTTGCCAACTGTGAAATATTCTGGGTTTCGTGTTCCACTTGCCTTGCGGCTTACTCACTTTTATTGCAAAATAAGTTCAATGACACAAAAGTAATGCACGACAATGCAATAACAACAATAACAACAATAACAGCAACAATAACATCTTTTGCTCTTTGCCTTTTCTTTCATTGTTCATCGCACAACGCTACCCGCTGCCTCTCCGCCCACCCCGCTGCCATTCCGGACCCAGCGTCTGCATTCACGCTAACTCCTTTTGTGCTGCATCGGAATATGCGCGTGAACGGGAGAGCGATAGCACAAGAGAGAGCAATAGCAGAAGAGGCGCCAGCTAGCGCTCGCCATTATTTGCATCTTTCGCTTTTCAACTCTTTTTTATTAGGCAGCCAAATGTGGGTCGCTCTCGCTCGCTCTCGTGCGCTCGCTCGCTCGCTCGCTCGCACCTTGCCCCGACTGACCGCAGAAAATCGATGACTGGCTGAAGCCCTTTTCTACTGCGGCTGCCATCGTTCGTTTTATTGTTTGCCAAGTTCAGCGCCCAAAAACTAAACGCCATTTATTGTCAACGACAACTTTCACTCTCTGTTTGTGGGAGAGTGGGAGCGAGAGAGCGACAGAGAGAGAGAGAGAGAGCGTCAACAATCAAGTCAAAGTGCTGGAACGTTCCTTCATCATCAACACGTTTCGCAATTTCTATGGCCAGAACTTCGCGCTTATCAACATCATGCAATCAGACACACGCACGCACACACACACACACACAGACACAGTGAACATTCATTCATTCATTCATTCATTTGTTGTTGTTGTTATTGTCTCCCTATTGCATTTTCAAAAGCTAGACACAGAGCAACCTGTTGCCGACTCTCAACTGAAACTGAACTGAACTTCGCCAGGCAATGCAATTTTCAACAACGTCATCAACAGCAGCAGCAACAACAACACACAGACGCACACACTGCCAAGCCGGCAGTCAGTCAACAACAACTACAACAACTGCAACAACAACAACAAGTAGAAACCATTTCCAAGCCATGCCCGCCGTATAATACATTCAACAAACAATTGAAATTTCGTATACAATTGCGAATTGAATGAGGAAATGAATGTGTAAAATGAATAACGTCTGAATAGCATCTCTTTGCGTGTGTGTATGTGTATGTGTGTGTGTGTGTGTGTGTGTGTGTGTGTGTGTGTGTGTTTGGGTTCAGTCTGCAAGTGTCGAGACAGGTCGTATACGTGTTTTTTTTTTTCTTTCCCTCTGCCCTTTAGCACTCTCTACCTCTCGCTCTTTCGCACACGCTGCTCTGGATTTTTGTTTTCGCTACCTTTTTTTCGGTGTTGGTAAACGGATAAACTCATAAAACAGTTGAAACAACGTTTAGTTATTTGCTCAGGGTTAGAAATAGTCGCAGACAAGTTTGACACGAGTTTTGGCCTGAAGTTAGCTGCAAAGCCGATGTTAGCCTTTAGCCTTTGGCCAGAAAAGTAGGCAACAAAAGTTGTGCCATTTATCATGCCAAAACTTCATGTTAGTGAAATATGAAAGCCAAACAATGGCACGGAGCAGATGAAATTAACTGGAACAAGAGCTCACAACTGAAACGTTGCTTAAATTAATATTTTTGAATGAAGCTGATGCTTACATTTTGTGTTCTTGTATTGTTTAAAACAAATACTTAACTTGTTTAATCTTTGTAACATTCATATTTGTATTCTTACAATAAAATTAAGTTGCATAGACTTGTGGCCCTTTCGCCTTTTATTTAAAAATATATATATATATTAATATACAACAACAAAATATGAGAAAATAAGAGAGAAAAAACTCAACAGCCCATACTTAACCTTCCAAAATGATGAAAATTCCCAAGGAAAATTTCGGTCGAACTTTAATTTTATATTAAAGTTATATTTGAGTTAAACGACTAAATCAATTTGAAATGATTATTATTTTGAAAATAGCTAGAATTTCCCCTGGAAGTACCAGTCACATATTTTTCTTCTTAAAATTTAATTTAGAAGTTCTCTATTCAAATTTTCTGCCTTAGAAAGTTACAGAATATTTTAAAAAAAAGTTGTTACTTTATGAGAATAGGAAATAATTTATTAAGAATTTAATTTATAATTAAATATGAATACTTTATTCATTTATTATTATTTTATTATTAATATCATTACTTCAAGGCTTGGAAAATTAAGTTTTAATTAAAAGCTATTTCTAGATATTTTATTTTTTTAGAATATTTAGTTGTTGCTTTTATTTATATTTTGATTTATGTGAAGTTCAAGCGTTAGCAGCTTAACAGGTGCACATGTGTGCAATAGAGAGCTGGAGCAAGAGAGCGAAAGAGAGAGAGAGAGAGAGGGAGTACATGTGTGAGATAGATAAATAGTGAAAGAGAGAGGAAGATGTTTCCATGTGCGAACTGAGTGAATTGTGCGAATATTTTTGTTGAACTTGTTTGCTTGCCAAATGCCTTTTGTGGCCGCTGCTGTTGCTGATGTTGCTGATGTTGTTGTTGTTGTTGCTGTTGTTGTTGGCTCCTCTTGTTGCCTTTTGCCATTGTCCGCCGCTGCCTGTTTTTGTTGCGTTTTTATTTCTTTTATTATGTGCAAATGTTTGTTTGTAATGCTCGGCGCCATTGTTGTTTTTGTAGACGTTGTTGTTGTTGTGTTGTGTGTGTGTGTGTGTTTGTATTTTTATTTCATTTTTTGTGCGAACAATTAAAACTCTTTGCAATGACCTTGACTTTGTTTTTTTTAAGTGTGCGTGTGTGTGTGTGTGTGTGTGTGTGTGTGTGTGTGTGTGTGTGTGTGCGAGCTTCCTTTTCCCATTTACACGCGCCCAGCACGCTCAAACGTCAAACATAAAACACAAATAACAACAGCAACAACAAAGCCGTCTGAGTGTCTACTTGGTCTGAGTCTGGAACTGAGTCTGGGCCTGGGCCTGGGTCTGGGTCTGGGTTTGGTTCTGTTTTTTTTTTTTCGGTTTTCGGTTTGTTTTGGGCTTATTATGTTCTTTTCTTTATTTTGTATATATTCGAAAACCCCCAAAGAATCGAATGGCTGCACAAATATACAATAATAATACACAGCGACAACAACAACAACAAGTGCTCTGATAATGAACAAGAAACATTTTCGTATTTTATTTCTTTCTTTTTTTTTTTTTTGGTTTCCGTATTGTATAAAAGGCTTTTTGGCAAATTTTGTTCTTATTTGCTTTCATTTTGCGGTTAAGATTTGCGTTTTTGCTGTAGGTCAGTTTCTGGGGCAGGTTTTTTTTAATATATATACATACTTATATTTTGTTCTCACATTGTTTTCGCCGGCTTTGCTTTTTTTTTTGTGGGCTTTGTTCATTGTCAAATCATTTGCAATTGGCCATAAATTCGTTTCGCCTGCCTCCACATATCGCATTTTGTTTTAAGACTCTTCCCGAGAACGCGCAAAGCGCACATTTCTGGGTTAGTGGCGCGATTTGGCCAAGTGCCTGAGGGGCAGGGAAAAGGGGCGTTTGCTGGGCACGAACAGAGCCCAAATGACTTGCATGAAATTGACATCGCAAGTGGGCATGAGTAAAATAAGTATAACGTATCGATTGAGAGTATGTTAACTTTATTTTTATTATTGTTATGCAACTTTGCTTTAGAATAACCAAATATCCTATATAAGGATTAATTTTGTTATGATTCATTGTAATTGTATATTCTTGCGAATCCACTTTTTCAAATTATTTTGTAATTAATCAGATTATAATTTAAAACTTTCCTTTAACTAAGTCACCTGAGATCTTAAAAATTACTCCCAGTCCTTTTTTAGCTTTATTTTTTCCATTCTTTCTTAAATTTCATTATTTAATCAGTTGTAGGTCTTCTTTAGGAGTTTAAAAAAAATTAAGAAGCAGAAGAGTTTGAAATATGGAATTTAAAAATTTTCTAATACAACTTCAAATCTTACTCAATCGATTTTTCTTATGTTTTATTTAAATTTTCTCTAAGATTTTCCATATTTTATATTGATCTGCCTTTTTATATATACGATTTTTCGCATAGTTTAATTTTATTGTTTATTTTTATATAAATTCCATTTAATTGCGTTCGATTCGGACTGCAACAATCATCGATTGCCCACAAAGGCTTTAATTAACATCGCTTAGTTAGTGTACTCAGGAATGCCATCTACAATTACTCAGAAAGCGCAGTCACATAATACCAGACCCAAGCCCAAATATGATCCATTACACCAAAAATGAATCAGCTCCGTGGCAAGCGATCCGAATGTTGTTACCATTAGCTGCGGCTCATTAAGAAGCTGACGCACAGCTTGCAACAGAACCAGAAACAGCACCAAAACCAGAATTCCGAGTTACTTTGCACTAATGAAAACCAAGCGAAAATGGTATAAAAAAAAAACAACTTACGCACATGTGCAATAAGTGCGGTTTTTGGTGCAGCTAGGGTGTAGGGGTAGGCGGCTTGCTACTGAAGTGGAGCACGCCGAAAAACCGCGTTGCTGCTGCTGCTGCTGCTGCTGCAGTTGCCTCTGTTTCTGGCTGGGGGCCACAAGACAATGCGGTTGCCTATTCACATGTGCAGCTATAATTACAACAACGTGGCAACATGCTCAGAGGAGCCAGTATCTGCCATCTAAAGGATGCCAGACCGCATCAAAGTCACACACACAGACACACACACTCACAGAGCGACCGTTAGTTATAACTGTTTGCTGCAGTGCACTTGGCAGCACTCGCTTAATACATTTTGCCAGCTACCGCCGACTGGCTGACTATTATTTCGTGCTCCGGCTGCTACCTTGGCAAACCCATTAGGTTAATAAGTAGAAAAAAATGAGCGAACAAAATGGAAATAAAAAATTAGAAGAATTCAAACTATGCGCGTGAGACGCGCCAATGGTAAATACGCCGCAAACACTGCGGTACACTCCCCAATCCCCGTTCCGACTGCTGTCTTCCAGGTGCCCGGCTGCTCGGCTGTCCGGCTGCCCGTTTGCCTGGTCCGCCATATTTAAAGCGTCCGAAAGCGCAAAAATTCCGCAAGACTTTGACTAGAAGCTGCTGTCGCTGCTGCTGCTGAAAACTGGCAACGTTGCTTGCCATAAAAACGACTGCCCAGCGACGACATTTTTATGGCAGCTCTGGCAACGCAAGCAACAACGCCACAGATCGATATGTGGCGCAAGCGAATACGTCATATAGCGCTAGCTCACTCTCGCTCAGCGTTGATTGGCGCTGTGCGCTGCGCATAATCCAAGCAAGCAATGAAACCAACACCAACACGCACACACACAGCTGCACAGACAGCGCATAGCGTTTATTTGATTTATTAGCGTGTGTAGCAGCCACTAGCGTTGTCTCTGTCTAGCGCTCACGCCTGCCCAACAGCGTAGCGAAACTGGTTTGCAAATGCCGTCACACACATACACACACACACACACACACACTCACTCGAGACCCGTTTGACTAGCCACCCTGTGTATCTGTATGCGTGCGTGTACGCTGGCTCGCAACGCCAAGCGGCCTCAGACTCAGCTGCTGGCCAGTCAGTCTCTCATTCGTCTCTCGTATTCGCTGTCGTCAGCACACGCGCACGCAACGAGCAACGGATTCGAGAGTTTCGCGTACGAGTTTTCGCCCTCACCTCGCCCAGCGTACTACACGCACGCACGCACGCACACACATACACAGAAACACACGCACACACGTCGTCGGTTATTCGCTTCGGTGACGGCGCTCGTTAACGCTGGGAACAGGTTTCGCCGCTGTCCGCTCGCTCGACGGCGAAACAGAAAGGTGCTCAATTCCGCGTTGTGTGGAGGTATTTTTCGACGTCTCACGCAACGCGCTGATTTTTTGCCCAAATAGCAAAAAAATACAACAAATTTACTACAGAAGAAAAAAAAAACAAAAAACAAAAAACAGTAAACTCACAAAATTATCAAAGCATATTTCGCGACGCGTTTCAACAAATAAATTTCAAGTGTTTTTGCGTTCAAATATTTGAACAAAAAAAAAAAGCTAAACCAAATAGCAAAAGCTGTTTCAAAAGGCAAAAGAAATAATCAAATATATATAGGTATATCTCTATATATAAATACATCTATATGTGTCAATTGCCACAAATTGGCAATTCCGAACAAATTTACCTACAAAAATCAAAAGATAACAACAAATTCCAAAATCCAACAAGTGCAACATGGTTTCCAATAAAAATGTTCAAATCATAGCCAATAAATAACTGCTTAATAAAAATAAGAATATCAAAATCATCTAACTTACTTAGAAAAGTAACTGTGCATAGACTACAAAAGTAACTCGAAAGCCGTTGAAGTGACATTTTTTGACAAAACGTATCTTTAAGATACAAAACGTGCATTTACGGATTTAACAACTGGGCGTGCAGTAACTGCAGCAACAACAAGAAAAACTGCAATTGGATATATAGCATCTACAGGTGCTTAGAAACTATCTCAATTGCTGCTGTAAATTATTCAAAGCTGCCAGAAGAGTATCTTTACTATTGAGTTGCAAAGTATCTGCAAGCCGCAAGGCGTTTCTTCAGCTGCAATAGACGCATCTATGATTTGCAAAGTATCTAGAAGTTAGAGCACGTATCTACAGCTGCAATAGACACAGGCAAAAGTATCTACAGGCATCCACAACTTCATGCATTGCCCTCGCTGGCAATCCAGAGCTTAAAACCCATTGCCAGTTACAGCAGCAACAGTTGCCAGCAGCCCGACAGCAACATGCTGACCATGGAGGCGGACATGAAATGCGGCATACTGCCCGGCCAAATGCCGCCGCTGCATGGCCATGCCCATGCGGCAGCAGCCACGTCGTATTCGGCGCTGGCGCCGCTCATGAATCTCGGCCCGTCGCATCTGACGCACTCACATCTGAGCCAGCACAATCATCACCATCATCACCATCACATGAGCGCACACATTGCGGCCAGCCAGAGTCCCAATCCGCTCAGCTCGCTGCAGTCGAGCATTGCCAACACGCTGAACGGCGCGACACAGCAGCAGCAGCAACAGCAGCAACAGCAGCAGCAGCAGCAGCAGAGCTCGCCGCTGCACAGCTCCAGCGAGCTGAGTCCCACACAGAGCAGCATTGGCAGCCATCACATGACCTCCCCAGTTAGCCATCATCAACAGCAGCAGCAGCAGCAGCAGCACTCGCAGCCGCATCCGCAGCAGCAGCAGCAGCATCCGACGCTGATGGGCGCCGGCAGCGCCCTGAGCAGCATGACCAATGCCGGCAACAATAATAATAACAACAACAACAACAGCGCCACGGCCAACAAGAATCAACAGCACGCGGATCGCGTGAAACGGCCGATGAATGCATTTATGGTCTGGTCACGTGGCCAGCGCCGCAAAATGGCATCCGACAATCCGAAAATGCATAATTCGGAGATCTCGAAGCGCTTGGGCGCCCAGTGGAAGGATCTGTCCGAGGCGGAGAAGCGACCCTTCATCGATGAGGCGAAACGTTTGCGGGCGGTGCACATGAAGGAGCATCCGGATTACAAGTATCGGCCGCGTCGCAAGACCAAAACGCTGACCAAAACCAAGGAGAAGTATCCAATGGGCGGCCTAATGCCCGGCCAGCAACCGGGTCCCGAGCCGGGCACACCCACCCGCGTCTCGCAGGGCATGTCCCAGAGCCAAGCGCTGAACGGATCGGGCGGTGCGTCCGCAGCGGCTGCCGCTGCTGCTGCCGCTGCCGCTGCAGCGCAGCAGGTGCGTCCGAACATCCATCAGATGAGCGTGCCGAACGGCTATATGCCCAACGGCTATATGCATCCCGATCCCGCCGGCTATCAGACGCACTACATGAACTACGCGCCGCGCTACGAGATGAGCCACATGTACAATGGGTATGGGATGTACGACACGGTCGCCGGCGGCCAGACCTCACCCTACGGCAGCAGCCTGCAGCAGCCGGGCTCGCCGTCGCCGTACGGCTCCGGACTGCAGCAGCAGCCGACGGGCGCGGTGACGGGCACCGGTTCGCCGGCGCCGTATGGCGCACAAGTATCCTGCCAGAGTCACAGTCCCAGCGATTCGAGCATTAAATCGGAGCCCGTCTCGCCCAGTCCCAGTGCAATTGCGCTCAATAATAACAACAACAATAACAACAATCACATCATGAAACGCGAGTACGTGTCGGCGGCAGCAGCAGCTGGCGCTGGCGCCGATCTCAACAATCTGATGAACATGTATCATCTGCACGACGGACTCTCCGGTGCGCCGGAGCAGCAGCGGCATCTGATGCACTATCAGACGGGCTCGCCGGAGCTGCAGCAGCAACAGCAGCAGCAGCCACTGCAGCATGTAATGCATCACCAACAGCAGCAGCAGCAGCAGCAGCAGCAACATCAGCAACAGCAGCAGCAACAGCAGCAGCAGCAACAACATCAGCTGCATCAGCAATCGCTGCGCGCAATGGCGCCGCTGGCACATATGTGAGAAATGGCCAGCGCCTATGGAGCCGTGGCCGCGTCTGCAACTGTGTCGCCGCCGCCAACAGCTGCTGGCGCTTATATGCCAGCAGCAGCAGCAGCTGCAGCGGCGGCAGCAGCACAGCAGCAGCAGCAGCAACAGTTGCTGAACGGCCGGCCTAGTCCGACTGCATCTGGTTCGGGTTCGTCGGGCGGTCGCTCCTCGGCGCATTCTAGTGGTCACACTGCCACCGCGCATTCACCCGCCTTGGCGGCGGCTGCTGTTGCCGCTGCCGCCTATCAGCTGTCCGCAACGTCAGCGGCGGCAGCAGCAGCAGCGGCCTCCTCCTCCTCTGCGTCCGCCACGGCCGCTGCCTCTAGCTGCCAAGCGGCCAGTGCGTTTGTGGCCTCGGCCAGCATGCTGGACATGCAACAACAACTGGAGGAGCAACAGCAGCAGCAGCAGCAGCAACAACACCACCAGCACTACCTGCAACATCAGCAACATCTGCAACTCCAGCATCAGCAGCAGCAGCAGCAACTGCAACACCATCAACATCAGCAGCAGCAGCAGCAGCAACAGCATCAGCTGTATCATTATCATGCCACGCATTCGCAGCAGCTGCACGCGCACGAGGCAAGCGCTGGTTTGTTGGATATATCCACATTGTAAATTATTGAATATATATATATAAATTACTCTACACACAAACACACACTCACACACACACACACACATTTAGCGTTAATTGCAAGCGTAACATAAACAATTTTTAGCTTTAGTTTTAACAAGATAATTCATTTTAGCACTTGTAATTACAAAATGAATTCAATTGATAAATAAATACAATTATTAAACCTATAAATAAAAGCATTTTACAATTAAGCATACGCACTGTTGTACCATATGAAGCGAACATCTTTCCACAAACACACACACACACACACACACACACACACACATATACACCTCCACATTCCAAAACTTGCATTCCACAACATTTTGGTAAAGAATAAAAAACCTAAACGACAATTGTGTGATACAAAGAAATTGTTGCAAAAAAAAAAAGAAAAAACTAACAAAAACTAAACAAAAAATTGTTTCATGTTATTTTGATTTCTGTTTTTCTGCGCTGTACAAAAAAACTTTAAAAAATAATTCGAATTTCCACAAAAAAAAAATTTAAAACAAAAAATGAAAAAAAAAACAACAAAAAAAAAAGAATCAACCACATTCTATTTTATAGATTCTCTTATACATTAAGTAATTATAATTATTATCTATTATATAAACAATTTAATTATAATTATTAATTATGCTTATGAATACTGCAAAGAAAAACAAAAAGCAAAAATACGAAAAAAAAAACCAATTAATTGTAATAAAACAAAAATTATTATTATTATTATTAAAAGGCAAGCATCTACCACATAATACAGAAACAAATTAAATAATAATAATACAACAAAATGTTAGTAAACCTAATGAAAATTTAGTAAAAACAACAAAATGATAAACTGAAACCAGGCGCAAGGCAAACAAAAAATATTCGAAAAGCAGAAGAAAACTGCAAACAAGCAGCCGGAACGTCTGGCAAAAACAATAAAAACCAGAAAAAAATCCACAAAAAAAAAACACACAAATAAAAGAAAAATCTTTACAAAAAAATATTCAAAGCAAATGTTTTTTATTTTTTGTTCTTTACAAAGTCAAATTTGTACAATTTGCCGTCGGCTAAAATATTGTCAATTTATTTCTCAAACTTTGACATAATTTTTAAAACCTTAAAACTGACAATTTTTTATGAGTGCACACTTTCAGTTTTTCTCTCTCTCTTTATTTTATCAAGGTCTGCAAATGTGCTAAAAGAAAAAAAATGTCGAAATGCTGCTTCGATATTTAAGATTTACGATGATATTTTATGGCGCTCATTTAGTTTCGTCAAAAGGCGATATTGAATTGATTTCAGGATGAGCGCAACGAAACTTGTTCATATTTAATATTATTATTCTTTTTTACTCGGGTAGATCGCATTTGAGACAGAAAACCCACTGGAGCTATAAAAAATCGTATTGGTTTACTGGTGCCTCGGTTGCGGTATTTAAATACGATTTTTGAATCATTAACAAATGAAATGATTTAACAAACCTGGGAATAGCCATTAAAAGTTAACAGCATAAACGGGCGACTATGGAAATAAGTGTTTCAGAATATCAATTTAATTGAGTATTAAGTTGTGTTTGAAGGGTCAACAGTCTCAAAATTAATTTGTCGTTATGTTTACCATATTAAATACTTGAGTAGCATTTGTATTTATGGAGTTCTCATAAAAGTGCTCAACTAGAAGAATGTAAGATCCACTGAAGCTGTAAACAGATTAAGTACAGGGTTTCTTAAGTCAATGAAAAGTATTTATTATAATTGTAAATCCTTGCTTAAGTTTTAATAGAGTTCTTTTGGAAATTCGAAAATACGTTTTTATATACTAAAAGTCGATTAACAGCTCGAATAGATTATCAAAATTAATATATTAAATTAACCAGTAGCTATCAAAAAATAATAACAATTATATAACTTCAATTATTTGAACATTTCTTTTCGGAGAATTTGATGAAATTGTTTTTTAATTTTTCACTACAACTCACTTGGCAAATTGCAGGGTGTTTTTTCGCTTTAGTCAGCCATGCTGCGAAATATCAGTTATTATTTATCAGTAGCTAATTTTAATATATTTTGCTCCATTATTTTTTTAGATATATTTTTTATAACCTGCAATTTACGTGACCGGAAGGAGGAGTTTTGTAGCTGTCGCCGTTGATTTAATTCTAATTATATTAATTTGCGATCTACTTGAGTGCATTTTGTATAAACAAATATGTCACATGTATATAAATTAAAAAAAAATATTTTATTACTTCGCCAGCTTTAATACTTATTACTCGTGCAAAGATGTCCACAAAACTTTCAAATATATTTAGTGATGCCAGCTTTGCCTTTCCAAACACATTTAGTATATTATTATCTTTGGAATCTAGATCAGAGATAATGGTCTCCAGTCACTAAATTGAATCCAGTCTCTTTTATTTTTTATTTGGCAGCATGTGTCTTCGGCAAACGACCTCGCAATCATATTAACAATCCATATCATTCACACGATATTACTAATTTATGCAACAGGCATCTGCTAAACGCCTCAGAAATTGCCCACACTTTGGTTATTGACAAATCCAAATAAGAGAGTGCTTTGACGTAGTAGTAGAGTGGGCGACTGTAAGATACTCATTAACTGCTCCTTAACTCCATGTTCATATGTGTTGAGTTGATCATTATCTAAGCTTGAAATAAATTTCTAATTATTTTTATTTCGAGTGCAATGAACACCTTTAAATTTGTAAATAATATTTGAATGTTATTTAAATTAAATATTTTTTTTGCTGTTTTCTATTCGCTAAGATACTACCATATATTGATGTAATTTCTTAGATTTTTATTATATTATTTCAGCTTTTTAGTAATTTCTTTTCATCAAACATTTGCGCTTAATAATATATTCAAAACCCTTAACTATGCATCACATGCATTTCAGCAACTTTTAAATGGCGATAGTAAAACATAAAATGTTTAAAAAATTATTACACTTATTTGTTATTAATGAAAATTGCAAATTCAGCGCAAGCAAAATGAAAAAAAAAATCGACTAAAATATGGATACAGTGAGCTGAGCTTCATAACGTGACGTCAAAACAACAAAAATTATAGCCATAAAAAATAATAACAAAAAGCAAACAAAAACAAATTATTCAAATTGTGCAAATATTAAACAAAGTTTAATACACTTTGTAGCTTATTAAATTTATTCTTTGCCAATTTTGTTGCTTTTGCCTTATTATTGTAATTTTCATAAATGCCATTTTACTAGAATAAAAAAACCGTGCAGAAAAATCCAAAAATTATAAAATAAAAGCTGAACGGAATTTCAACTAAAATATTTTTTGATTTTTCCCTCATTTCTCTTTGCAATCAATTAGGGCGCAGCTTTTAATTACAGATTTTTCAATTTTAGTCTAATACAAATCAATTTGTATATTTTTTTTTGTTTTTGTTTTCTGGATTTTCTATGCAGTCAACATAGTTCACATTATGCTCATTAAAAACGAGACTAAATTTACATTTTTCGTAATTCGATTTTTTTTTTTCATTGTTATTGTTTTGGCTTGTTTTGATGTATGTTGAAAGCGGCGATTTCTTGAGATACATGCATAATTTTTTTTTTTTTTTTTTATAACAAAATTTATTAATGTTTTATGGGCGTCATTTGTACGATGCAATGCACAGCAGATATAGCTACAGCTACTACAGATACAGATACCGATACAAATCTTTCAGCTGAAATTCGAGTTTGTCTGACATGCAAATCGTTTGTCGGAGCGTTTTGTTTATTTTCTCGCTCGTCAGCCAGTTGGAGCAATGTTTGATTTAGATTTAAATATATATATATATACTTTTTTTGCCTTTTAGCTGTGTTGTTGTTGTTGCGGTTTTTGTTGACATTGTTGGGTTTTTTTCTAATTAGCTTAAATTTTGTGCGGCTTTTCTAGCTGTCGCTGTCATTCAATGCAATCAGTAAGAAAATTAAACATCAGCACTTAATTTTGCGATGCAATCAGCCTTAAAATTAAATTAAGTTCTACCTTAAAACTCACACATTTAACAACGTTCTCGGGCTGCGGCTGCGGCTGCTGCGGTACAGGTTCGAGTGTGGCAGCTGAGTCATCATCGCAATCAGAAACCGCATCGCAGACAGCGGCAGATCGTGAGAGTTTCGCAGTTAGCACAAGTTTATTTATGTCTATTCCTAAACAATTTTAATCGATTGAGCACCAGTTGTGCTCCGAATAATTATTGCACCCATTTAGACATATTCACAATCATTTTGTGTTTAGCCTAAAGCATTTTAAGACCAAGGTATTTCATGCTATGCATAGGTTAAGTTCAAGTTGCTTAGCTAGCTTAGCTTAGAAGCTTTGACTTATAACTCATTGATGGGTAATTATAAATACTAAAATTATTATGAACTAATTCTTTTTATTATCTATACAGTTTCCTTCGGGTGCTGAGCATGTGCCAAGGAGGTGCTTCAAAATTTCAATCACCCCCAACAGCTAGCACTAGAGTTCGATTATAATTTTTATTTATACGAACCCCTCTGATTTTATATTGATTTATTTAATTATGCGTCATATCTACCTTTCAAGAATTTGAACTTACTAAAATAAATATTTTGTTTGTTTATTTATTTTTATTTTATTTAAATGTGACGTCAAGGTCATATGCCATTATTATATATTTTTTTCTATATATCTTAATAACTATTTAATAATTTTCATTTTGTGTTTTAATATGTGTAGCTCAAGCTCTTGCCTAAAAGACTTAACAACAATTTTATAAAAACTGGAATATTTTTATATTTCTTAAGCTTTTTATTTGAAGCTGTTTTCTATTGTTGCTAATATATATATTCATATATATTCTAACTAAATATTCAAACTATTCTTTACTGACTTTTCAAAGTTTTTAAAAGATACTCGACCTTATGTTCTCTACTTTTTTGATTTGGAATTTTTAATAATTTTTATTAGTATTGAAAGTCTTAAAGCTACGGGTACTTTTATACTAGATCTAAGTTATCTGAAGAACATTTATTTTATTTATTTTTATATAAATATGCGGCCATATTATTTTAGTAATTTGTTAGAAAATTTTATTTCTTGCTGTTAAAGAAGACAAGTATCTGTATCACTCTCCTCTTTTGCCACCATCTCTTTCTAGCTCTCTCTTCCTCTGTCTTTCTCTCTTTCGCTATGATTGTTAGCATAATTCGTGTATGTTGTGTCACTCGGGCAAATCTATGCCTCAATGAGTGCTCCCTTCAATTATCAAAACAAAAGCCCAGCGGCGCCTTCAAAACGACTACTCTAAAAGCGAGAGAGACACGGTGAGTGAAAAAGAGAGAGAGAGAGAGAGAGAGAGAGAGAGAGAGAGAGAGAGAG